TATTGTATACAAATAGGGTTTAGCGAGTTTTTCGATTAGTAGGATCTAGCGAGTCTTTAATGGGCACACGGAGAAAAATGATCAGAGTACTTGACTAATCAACTAAACTCATTATAGAAAATGTGACTTGAATTCTAGTAAAACTTATTTTATAAAATATTACTAGAATTCTGGCTAACATTTATTAGCGGTCTAAAACAGCTCCTTATACTTTCTGATAAACAATATTAAAATAATACGGTGTATACGTAAAATATATGTTTAACATACTTGAAAGATGATAAAAATAATTTTCAATTATTTAAATTATTCTTATCAATTAGTTTTCAACTATTACTGTTTTTTCCGTGTACCCACTGAAGACTCGCTAAATTCTATCAATAGGAAGACCCACCAAACCCGCTAAACCATCTATTGAAAGTCTGATTGAGAGAGTCTAGCGGGTTATATTGACATCAATTAGTCTCTTTTTTCTCCGGAACTTGTCTTTTGCGGCAAAAGCTACCGAATCGCGGGCTGTTTAGAAATTGAACTATGTAATAATTCCCTGTCCATAAATGTAATATAATCCGCCAAATATTCAATAATGTAGTGAGTAATGAGTTTTATGTGTACACTTACTTACACGAGGGTTATTTATATTAATAGGATATAAGCTCGCTTAGCACGGTCAATGACATTTTCCATAGGCTTTACTCTTAGCACTACATTATCTTTGTATCTGTTCTACTCGTTTCTTGTTGATTCTTGTGTATGGTCATTGCCTCTCTTTCATCGTGTTCTTTTTCTTCCACCTTTTTCTCACTACAAGCTGTACAGCTATCTATCGCGACCAGCTGCATGTGCAATATAAATGAATGTAGAATATAGAACAGTAGAAACACACGTGTGTAGGTAGGACAGGATTGAGAGGGAGAATCCAAAGACACTCTCAGGTCCTGACAAAAGCCAGCCTTCAAGCTGACATTCACTTCACGTCCGAGCCTCAGTTCTCTTTTTTATTATCCTTCTCTTCTCTTCTCTCGAGGCTCCTCAGTCTAGTCTCTCTTGGACCCAATGACCACAGCTCAAAACACAAAGAACCGTCATTCTGGCTAAGATTCCTGCAGGCACTTTGTTTATATATACATACACATGTGTGTGTCTATATTACAGACTGTATTATTCTTCAACAGAAAAATTTAGGGTAAAAAGGGACACTGAAAAAAAATCTGTGTAAGTGTAATATTTTGGAGTATACTCCATTTTAAACCGTACATTAAATATAAAAGTAAACTAGAAAGCTATGAAATTGTATGAAATTTTAGAATGAAATCGAAAGAAAGGAAATAAAAATCCATTAGAGTTGGATTTAATAATTTTATACTTGATGTGAACTTTAGTCATTGTTGTTTTTTACTTCGAAAAATTTTGAGGAGAGTATTGAAAAGTATTCCTAACTTTTAAATATATTTTAAGAAGTTTACGATTTTTGAAAAATATTTATTTCTACATATTTACTTGGTATACAATAAGTATTGTTAAATTTATACTGAAGATTGTATTTTGCTACAAAAATCATTTTTCGTTTATTTACAATCATTAAAGTATCACAGATAACAATTATTTATTTTATAGTTACAAATAAGTCCTGTAATAATAAAAATAATATAAATTAATAATAAGTTTTCCGCATTGTTTTGTAATAAACATCAAAATATAAACATTATTTAAACGAGAAGAAAATTCGTTTAGTTTAAATTACTTGATTTGAATAAGTATTAAAAGACAATAAAACTAAAATTATTGGAAAAAAACCCTTCTATTTTATTTTAATCTTTAAAAATTATCGATGATAGAGGGATTTATGTCTAGTATTTTCCGCGAAATTATCTAGGCCACCAGACAGTCAAGAAACTTTGACCCGAAACAATAATAAAGAATTAAAAAATTTTGCGTAAAGAATTTTCTACGAATTTTTTTGGAGCATCAGACAAAACCACAAAACAATCAAAAGGAATTAAAGTAATAAATCAGTCTCTATAGATAACATCGTTACTCGAGAATTTCACGTGAAAAACACCTCGAATAAATTTTGAAAAATTCTCATTGACTTATACTCGCTCGGATAGTTGTCTAAAAAATGTATAAAACACTAAAAATCAAGTATTTTCAACGTGAAAAATTTTTAAATAATTAATCAAATCAATGACAAGTTTAATTATGATCTACATCGCCGTAATATAATACATTTTTATGTCATCTAAAAAGTGGATAAAAATTGATTGCGCCGAAAAATGACCAAAATAAAAATTTTTATTCATCTATTTCATACATCTAACTTTTGCATGCTAAAAATGTCATCAATGTGTTTTTTACAGCATAAATAAAAATTACATAAATTATACACTAAATGAAAAGTTGTGGCATCTAACATTGATTGAAGGTTAAACGAGTATTTAAATATGAATGTCTCCATCACAAATTTAGTAAATTCAATAAAAAGTTATAGTTCTCAGGTTATTACTATATAATAAATATTGAAAAGTCTACTACTCAGCAAGTATTAATAGTTGTTTGTAATTACGTAACTACGTGTATATATGTATATATATAATTTTTAGCGATGAATGCAAATCGTATTTCATTCATACTTATATTTCAATAACAACAAAGTCTTTCATAATTTCCCTTTATAAACCTTTTTTCTAATTTTTTAGGTAACTTTTTTTTATAAATTGTGTATATATATTTACTCTTTCTATATACTGTATAGTAGTATACCATGAAATAAATTATTCTAAATTCATATTGTATAGTGAATGCATCAACGTCGTAGGTTTTAAGTTATGACTCTTATCTTTGTATTTTGAATATAATAGTCACATAATAATATTCAAATAATGTTGAAATTTATAAAGCTATAATCTATTTATTGTTGAATAGTTTTCAATTATTTAAATCATAACAAATGTTGGATTTGTAGCGATTTTTAAAAATTCCACGCTTCAAGTCCCAAGACAAAGGGTCTCTCAGGCCTTGAGAAAAAACTTTCGGGCTATTTTACCTGTAACCTTCTTTTCACTCATACATTAACAAAAGTAAATCGTGTATGTTTATTACTGTCAGTCTTCTAAGACAACCCTAGAATTCTGAAATACATTTGAAGTATTAAGAATAATTTTATTTTATAATTAAAACTCTCGGTATTTATTTATTTTTATTTTAAAGAAAAAAAAATATTACGTAATACAGGTGAATTGAAATTTTTTAGAGGATAAAATACAGTGAATGGGAAATGGATTTATTTATCACAAGATATCGATGAGTCTACTTCTATTTTAACAAATTGGATATCACTACGAGGCAGACGTATTCCGTTGAAAGGGCTCACGAAGAGCAAAGTCGCTCACCCTGAGAGCAAGTTGGCAAGGTAGTCCCGTGAGACGACGACAAGATCTTTTATAGCTGGGAATAAGGTAGAGAGAGCAAGGAAATGGCTGCGACATCAACAAAGACTTGCAGGGAACTATTTTTCTTAGTAAACGGCACAACGATCGAGTCAACACTCTACTTATTCTTATTGTTATTACTGATATAATGTAAATAAATAATAACATTTAGAATATAGTAATGATAACATAATAGTTGAAAGTCATATTAATATTGGTGAATAAAAAAATACTATTACTGTTATCGATAATAATTTTGTATTCCATAAAAGTAATAATAGTAATAATAATCGAAGATACAAATGTGCTGTATATACATACCATTACATTCAGTATTCTCTCGGCTTCCTCATATTATTTTCTTTTTTTTCTTTAATACCGTCTGCACATTTGTCATTCCATTCTGACATGTACCTTATTCGGTCGATCTCTTTTTACCTGAAAATTCTGGTTCAAAGTTGGGCCTTAAGGATCTCCAATCCCACCATAATGCCTCGCATACCTAAACCTAAGGTGCAATTTCACAGTGATGTATATAATTTTAGGTATAGAAGCCAGAAATATGTATTACACTTTTTTCTGTAATATATATGGAAGAAAATTTAGTGGAATAAATTAATAAATATCGACTGGATAAGAAGTTGATAGAAGCAATATCTTGTGATATATGGTTACGAGAGAAATTACTACTTGCTTAGGACAATATTTCAAAAATCACGGGTCCTTCTGAAAATTTTATACAGTTTATAAAGTAAACTGGAATCAATTGACTAATCTTTGACCTTTTGGATAGACTATCGTCTATTCGGAAACCATTTATATCCAAGATAACTGCATATCACCACGGTAAAAAATAAAAAAATACATTTAAGACTTGAATTTCCTTTGCTTCAATTCAGTGACATCATTTGAATCTCATTAAAACCTTTAGACCAATCCTCTTCAAGAACATTTCGCATGTCTTAACACAAACCTACAGGATTAATGCAATTAACTATATCCTCATCGCAACTTTATTATAACTGCAACATTAGATTGTGAGATAAACGAACATCCATTTTATTATTCATAATAAAAGCTCTGGAATGATTACCATACTCTTGATAAAACTGTCCGTGCGTCAGTCTCAAATATTACATGAAATTTCTCCAGGGTTAATTCCACATCGAACCTTCTATCATCGGTCCCTTTCCCTTCGGGAGTATGTACTGTGAAACCCCAATGCACAAGGGTTTCACCCTTCGAAGAACGCCGACCCTCGATTCTATATAGTCTATCCACTCTTTACATCTGTACTAGTTCCATAATCCATACTATATTCTCATCTTGCACGGCCTGCACTCAACGTACAGTCAACGTCGTCCCTTTTAGGGTTTTGTATAAAACGACCCCCGGGTGTGTCCCTTCTTAAAACCCAAGGGAATCAGTTGCAGGGTACCAATATGCATGAACACGAGACTGTACACTTCTACTCCCTCTGTTCACTTCCCCACTTATATTTATCCCTACTCCGAATTTGCCATGCGCATCGGCTTCAGCGCCCGCGCTCTCACTCAGTCTTTGCTGAGCCGTTAAAAGGAGTGTTCATTTGTGGCTCATTTTTAACTTAAATTATTATTATTTTCATCTGTAATTACTCCAGTTGCTTAGTTATTTTTTTTAAAAGTTCATCACAAGTGTAGTTACAAACGAAGAAATATACATAACGGAATTATAAGTGTGACTTTATTAAAACGCGGCTCGGCAGACTCTGTATTATATAAAAAAAAAAATTAATTAACCATCAATTGTTCGAAATTATTAAAAACATCGCTAATAATATCGATTGTTTACTTTCGCACTCTTACATATCTCGAAAACGACATGAAAAGTATCCTGAACTATTTTAGTGACGCTAACGTTAGAACTTGTATTGTGTGCAAATGTCGATGAGATAATTGACCAAGTGTGTTGATGTGTGTACGAGTGCAATATTATTCATATTAATACCTATATGTATGTATATACATATACATCTTTATATATATTTATTAAACGTAGTTCTTTTATATTATTAGGAGAGAAATTTAAAAATTGGAAGTAATCAATAATTGAACAAATATTAGTGTGCAACTGTTCATTACTATTAGTTGGATACGTCGTAAGCACAGTATAATATGGATTGGGCGGTTAAGGCGCGACGAACGTAAGTTGCTTGAGAATTTATTTTCTTCCTTTTCTCGTTTCTTTATTTGATCGTTTTTACTTCCTCGCCATTGTCCCTTCACCATCCACATTGTGTTCCGTTTTCAACGTGGCATTTTCGTAATATTTTGACCTTGGTTCCGAAACCTAAAAGTACAGAGCGTCTGTTACGATACTATACCTTTTAAATGAATACTCAAATTCGAGCTACATTTTAAATTGAATTACTTATTTGTTTTTTACGCCCAGCGAGTTGAATTATATATTAGTTTAACCTCCATAAGGTCAGCACGTGTTTACTTTTTACATTCCAATTTTCGAACACATTATATAATGGCTATATATAAATACATGCATGAATGATTTAAGTGAAGACTAATATATTGCTACAAACATTTCTATTATTTATATAATTATAATATACAATTAAATAATTTATATATATATATATATATATCTTAATACCACTCGATGGTAATTTTAACAGCAAGAAAATAGAATAGAAAGTCTCTTTGGTTCATAGCACAATCAGAATTGCAATGGTAATCGTGTTAACGGCTTTTGTCTTTTACTTATAAATTACGAGTAATCAGGCCGTGTTATATCTCAGCACCTCACTTTAATTTGTTAAGTATAAAACTTGGTATTATGTTACGTGATAACATTGAAAATTGTTGAAAAAAATTTTCATTAATTAAACAATTTTTCTTACGATTCAATGAGATTTATCAGCTGTACGTTTAATTTTGGTATTTCCATTCACCTTAAATACAATTAATACACATAATAATGAAACTAAATTTATTGGAAAATTTCATTGAAAAACCCAAGTTTCTTTTCTCAACAGAATATTGAAAATGAAATTACTTACGTCTTTTCGTTGCGTACAGTAAGTGTATTTATGAAAAATAAAGAAAAAAGTTTTCATTCTTGCTTTGATCCTACTTCTTCAGGGTAAATTTACTCTAGTATATGTACACGTATATAGTACATATATCTTTATGGAGAAAATCAATATAAAACCTAGTAATAAATCTTAATAAAATGTACTCGACTAGTTTTTATTTATTTGCTAATAATGTTGTGATGTGCTTAAAAATACTACATTGAGGGAAAAATATATTTCAAACAAACCATCATTGAGTGAAAGTTTCATTAGAATCGTAGGAAAAATAAATACACGTGTTTACCACCGAATGAACCACGATGACTGACATGTAATAATTCTTCACGTATAATTCATATTTATAATGAAACCGAATTTGAACATTCATAACAAATATTAATTCAAGATTATCTGAGTTTCTATATATTCATATTATTGAATTATTAGTATTTAGAAAGACAAATGAGCAAAATGTGAAAAAAAAATGATAAAAATATGGCGAAATGGTCAATTATAATATGCAGATAACTTTTTTAATCTTTTTTATCATCATCTGGACGTATAACATTCAGTTGCATATTGAATTACCTTGACGTTCAGTACAAATACTGTTTTCTATCAATACAAACTTGTATGACCAATCGCTACGACATTGATTCTGACACGATTTCATCGATTAGAGACATTATATGTGAGATATGCAGAGACAAGAAGAAAAATGGGAAAAAAAGTAAAAGAATTAACGTTCGAAGGTCCCCTTCACGGTGAATGCATTGCAAACCCATCTAACTCTCGTAATGCCCATAATTATATGCTATGTTGCACAATAATAACGACAGGGTTATCGTAAAAGAAGTCTCCCGTGGACTTGATCTACTATTTGTCTGAATAAATGATGTCAAGTAAAAGCGAACATTTACTTTTATAATTTATAGTACACTCAGATTTACTAGAGTTTCAGCATTGCTACTGTATTTACGTAAGTTAAAATTGCTTACTTTTTCTACGCTATTGAATCTGGTACTTCAATCATATTCCCAACCACCCAAAGTAATCTATTAATTCCCGAATCTGCAATATCAAAACTATCGATACACCACACTAACTTTTAAGGGTTGGCATAGTCATGAGTTTATTCTACCTAAATTTACAGGTCAATATGGACACGGTAGGCATTAATGGGTTAAGCAATGAACTGCCAGGTAGTTTTGTTACCTGTTTGACAAAGCTAACAATTTTAGGGTAGAAAAGTATTTAAATATCACTTAATTATAATATTAACCACAACCAACATTCTTCTTAGAGAAAATAATGGAGAATTTCTAGAAATAATATGTTGAGCTTTTTGGAGCTTAACACCTTATATTTGAAATCTACCTGCTCTAACGCCTAGTCACTCGAACAATACCGCATCAACGTGAAGTACAGTGTGCGCTTTTCCTTTGTGGTTTAGCATGATATATTTCAGTGCTGTAAATAAAATTAAAAAGTTGTAATTTCTTGTGTTGTTATCATCATTCCGTATTAATCGAAATCAACGTATTTTAATGAGAATATATCTAATGTTGGTTTTTTGGAGCCAACTTATATGTGCCAATTCTGTCTTAAAGAAGTTTTTTTTCTTCACCTTCTACGTGGTGTTCTCGAATCTCAAATACATTTCTTGAAATGGCTAATTAATAAAGTCATGTAGCCTAATACAGTTGAATTAAAAAATTATCTTAAAAGATGTTAAAAAAAAATAAATATTCGTTTTCTACTTGACAATGTATAGCAATAAATAAAAGCATAACAGTTTGAAAATTATATATAATCTTCCATTTTTACTCTTCAAGGTATTCATATATTATACAATCGACTGAGTACATCTTACACTCTCTATAAGACTGGTTTTGAAGGGCTGTTTGTCTCAAAATTCCAGATAAAATAGCCAGCAGGATGTTGTTTACCGCCTGTTGCTGCGTCACGTTTTCTCCTTTACCTTCTTGTCCCTGTGGTCCATAATTCCTGTCCCTTTTTCGCTTGATCATGTATATATAATACTGATTCTATGGTTTTAAAAATGTTTTCTTTTCTCTACATTTTTCCTCTTTTATGTGGTATTTTCAATATTTCGCAAGTTTCAAGAGGAAATGTGTTATTGAAAATATATAATAACAAATGTTTTTTTTTTTTTATCTCGAAATATATTTTTACTTCAATTTAAAAATTTTTTCGTTAAATATATACAAATGATACGTTACATTTATTTAAAGATTTGTATATGAATAATACATCTAAATTGTATTGTATTTTTCAACACACAATATTCTTTCAACAAAGAAAATTATTGATTCAATTTTTATTAATGACTTCTTGAAAAATGCGTTCTATCCCAAAGTTATTTTTAATAACAGTCCAAAATCAATTTACACTACTTTTTAAAGAATAATTGATGCTTTCTACTGTCGTTTTACACAGTCACATCTGCAATTTCCATCAAAATTCACTTCGTATTTTATAAGTTATTTTTAAAATTCGAACATCTTTCCAATTAAGATAGAAAGTTTTTTCTGCTTATCCATGTTTTTTCTTTACGAGTTTACTTTTATGTTATCTCAACATCAAGCAATATTAGTACCGGGGATTCTGACAAAGATGTGATAAAGTCAATATTTAAATGTTTACTTTACGTTTTAAGTAAATTATCTATGTGATATGCATTTTTTGCCTAATTTTGTACAAAATTCCATAAAACTCATTTTCTGAATGTGATTATTTTCGCATAGCCTAGAGTCAACTACAACAAATAAAAATTACATTATAATTAAAAAAAATTTCTTTCAAGTTTACTACACACAAATTTAACGCTGTCCAAATGACTATCTTTAACAGAATAGTTAAATATTGATCGGAATTATATGATGACTAATGAAGCAATTTACTTTCCTTCAATGTACTATTTATACTTCTTTATCTATGTACAATACATTCATTCAACTATTCAACGATTATTTACAATAAAAAATGACGAGCATTGAAATCATTAGTTAGGTTTTTCATGGAAATTCATGGAAATTTTATTAAACAGAAAACAAGGGGAAATTAATTATATTCCTAATAGTCCAGTTAATATAGGAAGTTTTGCTTCATTTGTGGGCAATTCTTTTTACAATGGACAATTTTTAATTTTCCGACATCAAAGTATCCGAAATAATATATAGAAAAAATGTACCCAAAACTGAAAGAGCGCCGATTTTTTTTCAGGAGAAGTCTTTTTTATAGAATATTATTTATTTGCCTTTTTCACATGTGACATGCATTTTTAATTATTATTGCTTACATTATTATATATTTATTACAGAGAATTATTTTTTACAAATGCCATTTATAAATAAATAATATTCCATATTTTTCTTTACAAAAAAACAGAAAATAAATCACAAAAAAAAGAAAAAAGACTTCTTCCATAAAAAATGCATTGCCTTTTATTTTAACTAGCTATATCCTTTTCTAGCATGCGGCACTGCCTATAACGCTATCTCGCTTAGATACACAGGATCACTAAAATGTGAAAAAAACATAGAAAAAAAAAACCGGCGCACTTACAGTTTTAGGCACATTTTTTCTATAAGTTATTGCGGATATTTCGACGTTGGAAAATTAAAAAAGTGTCCATTTTACAAAAAATGTGCCCACAAATGGAGTAAAACCTCCTATATTTACTGGACTGTACGTAGTTTATAACATAACTCATAATGTTGCTCAAATGTAAATTTACCAAAAAAATATTTTTGTAACTCTTAACATAGCTTGATTCAGCAATAAGAAAAAGTGTATTTGACCTTCTTAATGACTCCTTAAATACTTTCTAATAAATCTAGCCTCCAAGTTTCACAATGTCTGTCCAATTTGTGAAAAGCAAAAAAAAATGAATTAAAAATTTAATGTTGGTTAGCCAGTATGGATTATGAATTGTCAAAAAAAAATAATTATGTATTTATCAATAATACAATAACATGTGTTCCAAGTATTATTATGATCTTTTAATTAAAAATGATTGTTTATCTCTGTAAGCTTTAAGTATTTCTTAATGAATGAATTTATGAATGTAACTGTATCACGCATAGTTGACA